AAATATATAGGAGACGAACCGAGAATGAGAGCGGCAGGGACCCAACCACCGGTCTTGGATTTCTCAGCAGGACGACCCATGTAGTCCACAGCATCAGCCACCGTCCAACTCCCCTTGTTCTCCTGTATAACCAACACAAATAAATCGCCGTTCAAACACTCTCCCCTAATCTCAGAACCAATTCATATGAACCATACAAGTAAAGAAAGCCGCGGAAATCAAGAAAATAGTCTAACCATTTTCTTGTTTGGGGGTTATGAGAGAGAGAGAGAGAAAGAGATTCTTGCAAATTCTGTAGTGGTTGTATGTTTGTGGGTTTTGCACTCCAAAGCCACACAAGCAAAATGTGTTGGTGAAGAGCACGCCTTTATATAGGCACAAAAACATGTAGAGGAGCTTGGAAAGTTTTTTTTTTTATAAAAAAATATGAATAATAAAAAATAAAAAAAACCGACCGTCCACTATACGAAATTCAGACAGAACAGAAAAAGCAGAGGCTTATGGATTAGGTTCATCACACCTTTTTATTTTTCCCCGTGTGAATTTTCCAGCAATCTTTTAATTTTATCTCATATTTTTTTTTCTGTAATTCTCATTTTTGTTTTTAATACAAATTCTATTAATTTTCCATGGGCGTGGAGCCGACACGGAACTATATACACTGTTGATTAGGTTAATTCGAATGCGGCACTATATCGACGGGTTAATTTATAATAGTTATTATTTACAATGGCACTGTGCTGTTATTTCTTTTCTCTCTTACTTTAAAATAAAAATATTTTAGTTTTTTTTATTTTGTAAAAAAACTATTTTTCGCATCTAGAAATGTAACAACAACAGCTAGATGTTATAAAATATGAGAGATTCCTTCCGCTTCCCTTTCAGTTTTATGGGCATGAACATGGAGATATGGGATCCATTTTTAAAATAAATATCATCTAAATTATATACATATATATATATATATATATTCGCAAATCATGTCCGTTGTTTTTCTTCCATTTAAAATATTTTGACCTTGTTTTTCTTTCCGATAAAAAACTTGTTATCATATATATATATATATATATATATTAAATAATGTTTCGGCTAATAAACCGATTATGGTACAGCTCTCACATGGTAATCCGATCTTATCTAGTAAACCATATTAGATCGATAGTGTAATCTCCGTTTGAAACATTGGAGGTTCATACATACATTGGGGTTCAATCCTTCCAAAATTATCAAAATTAAACGAAAAACATACAAAGTTAATAATTTTTTGCTTTTAAAATCTTATTTTATCTATTTGTTTATTAAATTTCTAAAAATTTGTCGATATGGAGACGATTTTCATATATAAAATACATAACTTGATTATACATATACATATACACACACACACATATATATATATATGTATATAATTGATGGAGGAGATGAAATCAAAATGATTTTATGTTGCGGGATGTGAACCACAGCAAGCTTACATTGAATCGAGGGATAGGGAGAGTGAGTGTTAGTGCTTCTAATGCCCCACCAAACCAAATATGATGAAGTGTTCAAGCCACAGACAGCTTGCCTTTCTCTCTCTTTTAACTTGGCATATTTTTTCAAAAAACATTTTTGTGGTTTTATTTTTGTTTTAATTTTAGTTGTTAGTTTATTTTTAAGTTTTTAAATTTTAAATTTTTTTATTTCGGAGAGTATGCAGCAATTTGATGCAATGGGCAGGGATTTAAAGGGATGTTCACGTCCATATGCAAATGTAAACAGTGAATAACGTTGTATAAGACTTTATAACAGAAGAGAAAATAATGGAAGTGATTTAGGTTAGATTTTCTATCATTGTAATTGGACTTCATATAAAATACAATACAGACTATAAAAAGCTGTGATTTTTGTGACCGCCTTTTTTCCATTTATAGTTAAAAGGAAATACAGTTCACGAGTGTATCTATCAAACTCTTTCGAGAAATTATTAGACAAATTTTAAATTCATATCAAAACAAACAGATAAATTTCGATTTCATGTATGTATGTATGTATGTATGTATGTATGTATGTATGTATGTATGTATGTATGTATGTATGTATGTATGTATGTATGTATGTATGTATGTATGTATGTATGTATGTATGTATGTATGTATGTATGTATGTATGTATGTATGTATGTATGTATGTATGTATGTATGTATGTATGTATGTATGTATGTATGTCATCTCTTGAATACTTCTGTTTTGGAATATGAAAAATATAAAATATGTCAATGAATTTTATTTTTGACTGTTCGTTGGTGACAATGGATAGTGGTGGTGTGGGTGTACCGTTGCAAGAGTAGAAGTAATAGAAGTAATAATAGCGATGAGAATAAAGAAGCTATAAATAAAAATCATGCATGGATGGTTAATTTTAACGTCACAATACTAGATTAAAATAGCGAATGCTGAAATTAACTTTAAAACGATTAAGCGTTGCGATATTAATATATATTTTAAAAATAGAAATTTTAGATCGTAGTTCATAAAATAATAATAATATTTTTTTTTGCGAATATATGTGTGGGAATTAGAAAGAAAATTATGTATATTGTAATTATTATTAAAAGTATAAATTACAAAATTAGATGGTTGGAGAGGGGCATTATCAAAAATATCCTTATTTTGTTATTTCTACTTTAAGACCTACTCTTATGACCATGTGACTAAAATATGACAGAGAATTCTTATGTTCATATCTTGTATATCTTACTAATCATTTGATTAAAACATCATAAATTTAACGTTATAATCGATAAAATCAAAATGTGACTATACTATATTTCGGTCACATTGGTCACATGGTCACAAGGGTAGGTCTTGAAGTAGAAATATCAAAGTAAGAGTATTTTTGATATAATGCCGGTTGGGGATGGTGAAACGTAGAAAAAAGGAGATGAGATGAAATAAATACATCAAAATATGGACGGTAAAAAAAGGGACAGCAGTAGAAATACGGTAGTGGTGAAAAAAACGCAAGGCATTAATCAAGTAGTCTTGAAGAACACAGCGTCTAATTTATATCAATTTCCAGCAAGATTTTCATTGTTTTTATTTACAGAGTCACAATTTTGCAGAATTTTTCTAGGAAACCCATCTATTAGAAAAATCAGATGGTCCACATGAAACAAAAATATTTTAGTTTAGTGTCAATGGGAATTTAATTTTTAATGAATTGATTTAAATATTAAGATTAATTTTAGGGGTGTTTCAATTCCCCACCGTCATTCACCTTAATGCAGATGCTTGTGGATTAGATATATAGTTAATGCCATAAATGGGCCTGTGAGGAAAGATTTTAAAATGCTTAAATTGTTATCTCATTTTAAATGAAAATATTCCATATTCTTGTCAGATTTTAATTAGAAAAGGTACGTTCTCTTGAAAATAAATTTATTTTACTATTCACTCCCAAATTTCCTTCAGCCACAGTCATTTCATTTAAATTCCATATTCGTACTCATTTAAAGTGTTGGCTACGACGATGATTTGTATTTAAATTTAAATTGACCATATATTGTTTTTTATTTAATTTGTTTCTTTTGTAAAATACAGTATTTTCAAACTTTATGATAAAATTTAATTTCACTTGTGTGTGTTTTCGTCTGCCACATCGACAAAAGTGCATTATCATTAATTTTATTGTTTTTTACTTATGTAATATAATATATGATTTTTCATAAAGTTCCATGTCTAGAATTTAATTTAGTTAGTGATAAATTTTACGGTTTTTTTACTTTTATAAAAAAAGGTATTTGAAAAATATGAGTATGGATACAGCGAGAAAGAACAACAAAACAATGAAATCAAAATAAAAAATGAAAGAACCCGGATATGATCCTCTAGGCGTGATTTCACTTTCCTAAAACGTTATTCCCTCCCCACCGAGTAAAGGAGAATCCCGAGAATACGTTTAAAGATACAAAGAAGATCAGCAACGATTGATTCGCTCGTCAAAAGTTTTCCGAAATAGAAAAACCCGCGAATGAGAATGAACAAGAAAAGTTGGAGAAGAATTTGTAAAATTCTACACCGAAATGACTCCCAAATCTCTCAAAAATCAATTAGATTTCGTAACTTATGTGTTCAGACGTCTAGAAATGTTTTTAACGCTCCAAAAGTCAAAAGGTGCAAAGACATCAGAAGTTTTTTCCGAACGGTCACGATTTTTCGTTCATTTTGAACAGCTCAGAAAAATCAGGCGGGTCGCTCATTTTCTCCAGTTTTGTTCATTAGAGAAAATGAACTACCCGCTCATTTTTCCGAACGGTCGCTCATTTTCCCCAGTTTTCTTCATCAGAAAAAACGAGCTACCTACAATATCTTCCGATTAATCCTTAACGCTTAACCAATTCACGACACATCTTTTACAAGCATTTTACTCATCCACCATACTTATAATACACGTGAAATATGAATCCTTCGCGAGATTTTAAAATCCACCAATCTACTCTAATTTAACTAACAAAAGGAATAATAACAAAAAAAGATTCATATTATTATTAGATTTAGTACATGTTTAGTCTTTTTCTTATTCCTATTTTGCTATCTACTTTTTTTTTTATTTTCTTTTTTCGGGGCTAAGGTTGTGCTTGCTAGTTAATTGGTCTTTGTCATTCATAAAGCCTATTCGTATATTTCTTATATGCAATAATAGCTCCTCAATACAGAATTTCAAAGGATCAGTTGACTTTTTGTGTAATCGAACCCAAATTAAATCACAATCATTAATAAAAAAAAAAAAATTCGAGGCTCGATTGAGTTTACCTATACAGAAGAAGACCTTATACTAGTGTTAGAGGAAAATATACGTAGCCAATTTTCATTTCATAAAATATTTATATCGGTTATTAGAAAATATATAATACATAAAAACATCATTAACTACTGTTTTTTTTTTGTAATAAATCGGACAAGGAATATTCCAAATATACCGCACCACTAAACGTGGACATGCTTATAGCAAGAGTTGACTGATGTCCCAATGATTTGGACGTAGGGTCTTCCTTTAAGTTGACATTACTTGACTCCCTATCTCTGAAAAACAGTGTTTTTTATACGAGTTTATATCTTTTTTGTACACCAGAAGCTCTAACAAGATCTGCGGAATAATGATTTGGATTTTTTTCTCTATTTTTCGATATCAATAATATATATATATATATATATAGAGAAATGATATTGTTTTGAATTATAATATAACAAAGAAAGGTTATTTATTATTTATATATATATATATATATATATATATATTGATAATTCGAAAATTTACCGGAGTTTAATCCGATTATATCTCCTAGAGAATCGGGGAAGCCCATGTGAATGTCCTTCTCCG